ACTAATTTTTTGTCCTTTGCTTACTTCTAAAATGGGGGAGCTTACTGTGGGAACCAGTACTTTAGCTGTGTTGTTGAGCTAAATTGCTGCTTTGCTGCTGTTTCCCTACAGAAGATTTTTTGTGCTGCTCAGGGTTTAATGGTTGACCTTATATGTACTTCTGGCTCTCCAGAGGCCTGGTGCACCTGGGTTGTGCAGAAACTCTGATCCAGGCCTGAATTTTTTAATCAAACTGCACCCCATGCAATTCTTCATTCCCTGTCAGTCTCCTCTGAGTGGTCCTGTGCTGACTGGGAGGTGGATTGGCTGTCCTTGCTGTGTCCCATTGTTCTCCTGGTGGGCCTGTCACCCCCACCATCTGTGCTACAAACACTTCCCATGGGACAGGTCCTGTGCAAGTCCCTTGCAATGACTCACTGGCCTCTGAATGGCTCCCCTTTTACAACTGTTCTGGCTCTTCACCCCTGCATGGGTCCATGGGAGCCCTACTGGTGGTCTTGCTGTCCTGGGGGCCACCAAGGCCCTCTTCCCCCCTGCCACCTCCAAGCAACTCCATCTGAATGACACAGCTGCAGCTTCTGCCAGCTCCTGCTCCATGCACTCAGCAGTTTCAGCCTTAAAGTGGCCATGGCCCAAAATGCTCCAAGCAGTTTTTTCTTTCTCTCATTGTGGCTTCTCCCCTTTCATAAACTCCATAGTTCTCTCCTCCTCTTCCCCTGAGCTCCAGCAGCCCCAGCTTGGCTGCTGTTACATTTTTATAGTTGTAAATTAGTTGATTTGTGGGAGAGAGTGATGCTGGGGACCAGCTATTCTGCCATCTTGACTGGAACTCCCCTAGGGCTAGTTTTAAGCAATAAAACATGGAGAAATAATGATGTGTGACTTCCAAAGCTAGGTCATAATTGGCATTGCTGCTTAGGTCTTGTTCTCTTGGAATGCTTTTTCTGGTTTGAGTTAAGGTCCTTGTTGGAAGAACAACCAAGCAGTCCTCTGAAGAGGCCAAAACAGAGAAAACCTAACTTGCCAGACATCTGAGGAAGCTACCTCAGGACTGCACCCTCCAGCCTCAGGCAAGCTTTCAGATGACTGTAGCCCAGCCAAGATCTGACTGCAACTTTATGAGAGACACTAAACTAGAATTGCACAACCAAGTCACTTCTTGAATTCCTGACGCTCAGAAATCATGAGAAATAATAATGGTTATTGTTACATTTTGCCACTAAATGTTTGGTTGTCAAAGGAAGTACACAGGGATAACCTAAAACAAAAACTTGAACTTTGCTGAAACTAGAAACACATGATATTATAAGGAAAACTAATGAAGAGTAAGATTTGACACAGCA